TTTGATTCCTCCAACACCACCAACTTAAATGTTTTGATTCCTCCAACACCACCAACTTAAATGTTATGATTCCTCCAACACCACCAACTTAAATGTTATGATTCCTCCAACACCCACCAACTTTAAATATTATGATTCCTCCAACACCACCAACTTAAATGTTATGATTCCTCCAACACCACCAACTTAAATGTTATGATTCCTCCAACACCACCAACTTAAATGTTATGATTCCTCCAACACACCAACTTAAAATGTTTTGATTCCTCCATTAAATGCCTCCACCACCAACTTAAATGATTCCTATTAAATGTTATGATTCTCCAACACCACCAACTTAAATGTTTTGATTCCTCCAACTTAAATGTTATGATTCCTCCAACACCACCAACTTAAATGTTATGATTCCTCCAACACCACCAACTTAAATGTTATGATTCCTCCAACACCACCAAATTAAATGTTATGATTCCTCCAACACCACCAACTTAAATGTTATGATTCAACACACCTTAAATGTTTTGATTCCTCCAACACCACCAACTTAAATGTTATGATTCCTCCAACACCACCAAACTTAAAATGTTATGATTCCTCCAACACCACGTACTTAAATGTTATGATTCCTCCAACACCACCTTAAAATGTTATGATTCCTCCAACACCACCACCTCCAACACCACCAACTTAAATGTTTTGATTCCTCCAACACCACCTACTTAAATGTTATGATTCCTCCAACACACCTACCTAAATGTTTTGATTCCTCCAACACCCCCTTCTCCATACTTTTACAAACCCACCACCACCACCTACCTGTAAGTACATGAACAGTGATGGAGTGTTCGCGTGAGTAGGCGGGTTGGCAGGTGTACACACCGGAGTCCTGAGCGTTCGCGTTCTTCACCAACAGCTGGCTGATGCTACGGCGACCCAGCTGTGTCCTGATCCTCACACGTTCCCCGTCCTCCCAAACCATCTGTCAAGGGCGAGGTGGAGATCATTGGGTGGGCGCTGGGGGGGGGTAGGAGGGGAGGTCGAAGGCGTAATTAGAGTTGTGTGTATGGGTGAGTGAGCGGGGGGGAGGGAGGGGGAAGAGAAGTTGAGAAGGAGGAAGAAAGGGAAGAGAGAGAGAGAGAGATAGGGGGGAGCAGAGAGTAGAGAAAGTAGAGAGAGAGTGAGAGAGAGAGAGAGAGAGGGAGAAATGGAAGAGAGAGGGGGGGGAGAAAGGGAAGTGAGAGAGAGAGAGAGAGAGAGAGAGAGAGAGAGAGAGAGAGAGAGAGAGAGAGAGAGAGAGAGAGAGAGAGAGAGAGAGAGAGAGAGAGAGAGAGAGAGAGAGAAGAGAGAGAGAGAGAGAGAGAGAGAGGGAGAGAGGGGAGAGAGAGAATGGAGGGGTGGGGGCAGATAGAAAAACAAACAGACAGAAGACATAAACACACAGACACACAAAGGGGCATTATCAGAGAGAGGTGTACGTGCATGTGTATGTGTGTACACTTGCGCGTGTGTATAAAAGGGGTGACGTGGGTAAGTTAGGAGAAGTAGGTAATGCGGATATTGCAAAAGCTGTTGATGGAGAGTGATGTTATGAGGGAAGTTGCAGAGTTTTGTGGAAGGGAGAGGGGGGGGGGGAGTAATAGGGTGAGGAAGTTCGAAGGGAGGCTGTAAGAGCTAGCCTACTATATTTAAGAATATCGAGGCAAAGAATATCAATGCCAACATAATACCGCCAGACAAATTTAGGCCAACATACCAATCACGCAATAACAAACATAGATAAATAATGACGAGGAAGCAAAAGTTAAAGTGAATCTAACCCACATAAAGAACAGAACGCGGTCTACTCTACCCTAGGATCGAGAGGTAAATCATTCTTTCTCATTTTGATGATTCTCTGCTAAATCTGCCTCACGCTTTTTTTTTTTTCAGCACATACAAAATTTGCATAATTGCTAAGCACACGGTATCAAAAAAGTGGCATGAATAAATGTTGAATATAAAATAGGTGGCCATAATCAAGAAAGATAAACAAGATTGCAGCTTCCAGACCCGAGGGAAGGCGCTGAGTAGGAAGGGAGGGCTGGAGGGCGGGGAGTGAAAATGGGCGAAGGAGAGAGAGATACATAATAGATAGAGATAAAGAGATAGATCGATAAAGAGATAAAAACAGACAAATAGATAGATAGAGTGAGATGGGGAGGTAGGGGGAGGAAAAAGAGAGCTAGTGAGGAAGCAGAAAGAGAGAGACGGAGAGGAGGGAAGAAATGAGAGAGAGAGAGAGAGAGAGAGAGAGAGAGAGAGAGAGAGAGAGAGAGAGAGAGAGAGAGAGAGAGAGAGAGAGAGAGAGAGAGAGAGAGAGAGAGAGAGAGAGAGAGAGAAGGAAAGAGATAGATAGATAGTGAGAGACAAAGAGAGAGAAATAGAGAGGAACAAAGAGAGAGAGATGGAGGGATGAGAGGGGGACAGAAAGAGAGAGGAGAAAGAGAGAGAGAGAGAAGAG